ACATTTCCTAAGTCCCCCTTGGCTAAGGGCTCCATTAGGTCCTCTACCGTGACAGAGTCTGAGAGATCTGGTTCAGGTTCAGAGGGGTTAGAGTCATTACAGCCTAAGTCTAACTGAGGTAATGGTAGATTTGAACTGGGAGAAGAAGATAGTCTTTGATGGCAGATAGAATCTGTCACCAATCAAGCCCAATATACACTCCCTTTCCACTTCTGTCCCCTCCTTATCTGAAGTTTGAGTACAGCAAGGAGGGGATGGAGAAGGTCAAAGTCAGCGGGCTTCCCCAGCAGTGGACCTGCACAGCATCAGATATGGGCAACAAATTATTCTGTTTTTTTTTTTTTTTTCTAATTTAAATATTTATTAATTTTTCATTTTAAATACATCTCATCATCACAATATATATATATATATATATATATATATATATATATATATATAAAAGTATATTTTATAATATTATAATATCCAACATTTCTGCTTTATTTACTCTATGCAACTTTCCCTCCCACCTCCACCCCCCACCCTAATCCCCTCTGCCTATCCTACCTTTTCTCTGCGTCTTCTTATATCAGCAAGTGAAGTTTTTCTGTTGTTTTCTTTATTCTTTCCTATACTTCATATATAATCTAGCTTTTTCCCAATTCTCCCATTTCCCATAATAAGCCTCCATCCTATCTTCTTGGATATGACACAACCTTTCCATCTTTTTGATCTGCTCAACTCTTTCAATCCAATCCTCTTCCTTCGGTATCTCTATTCGCCGCCAGAATTTGGGTATCAGAGCTTTTGCAGCATTTATATAGTACCATATCCCTGATTTTTTATATTTATTTACTGTTATGTCCATGTTATGCAAAATACATACTTCTGGATCTAGAACTATGTCTATTTCTGTCAATTTTCCTATCAAGTGGATTATTGTCTTCCAGAATATCTGGATTTTTGGGCATCCCCACCATATATGGTATATTGTGCCTATTTCTCCACATCCCCTCCAACACAGTGGTGAACTCTCTCCACACATCTTATTTTCTACATTTGGTGTAATGTGCCATCTTGTCAAACACTTATAATTCATCTCTTCTTCTCTCATAAAAACGTTCTCGTGAGTTAGTCTATACATTCTCCTCTGCTTTTCCTCATCTATCACAACTCCCATATCCATTTCCCATTTTGTTATATATGTTGGCTTTGTGTTTGTATCTAATTCAGTGAGTATTTTATAAACTTTAGCAATCCCATGTTTCCCATCACCTTGTATTCCCAATACCTTTTCAAACAAGTTCCAATTGTCTCTTGTCCTTAAAGGTTTTGGCAAACTTCCAACAAAACACCTCAAATGAAAATATCGCCATTCATCTAATTTAGTGAAAATCTCTCCCTCTTTTTTTTTCAATTCCCCAAATGATCCTATTTCATCCCCCACTAAAATATCTCTTAATTGCACCTTGTCCTTTTTAAACCACCTCCCTCCTATTTCTTCTCTACCTGGGGGAAAAAAAACTCTGTGTTTTTTAGTGGAATCAGTGTTGAATTAAAAGTCCATTTCATATTTTTGTGTAGATTATCCCAAATTTTTAAAACATTCAAAGTGTATGTATCATTTAAACCCCTATACTGTGTTGGCACCCATATCACCCTACCCAGGTCTATTCCACTGAGTTCATTCTCTATTCTCACCCAGCTTTTTTTATAATTATATGTCCAATCTATGGTTCTTGCCAATATTACAGCTTTATAGTATCTTTTAAAATCTGGGAGCCCTAAACCACCTCTTTCTTTTCCTCCTACTCAACAGCTCGTATGACAATCTTGGTTTTTTATTCCTCCATATGTATTTTGTTATCAGTTTCTTAATTATTCTAAAAAAGATCTCTGGGAGTTTAATTGGGATCATTTGATATCTATATATAATTTTTGGTACTACTACCATTTTTACCAGATTAATACGGCCTATCCATGTCGGGGTTCCTCCCTCAAATATTTTTAACTCCTCTCTAATCTCATTAATCAATGAAATATAGTTTAATTTATATAGATGTTTATATGAGGCTGTAAGTTTTACTCCTATATATTTTATATCTCTGTCTTTCCATTTAAAGGGAAATTCCTTTTGTATCTTTTCTTTTTTTTTCATTTTTTAAGATGTTTTATATTTAAAATCTCGTTTTTGTTGGATTAATCTTTAGGTTTGATAGTTCTCCATATTCCTTTAATGACTTCATTAAGTTTGGAAGTGTTATCCTGGGATTTCCTACGTAGAACAACAGGTCGTCTGCAAAAGCAGCGACTTTATGTTCTGTGTCCCCTATCAGGATTCCCTTTACGTCTCTATTCAGCCTTATTGTTGACAACAATGGTTCTAATGATATAACATACAACAATGGGGACAATGGGCATCCCTGTCTTGTTCCGTTTGACATCTCAATGGGGTTCTGACCTCTCCCCATTTACCCCAATAACCACAGAAGGATATCTGTACAACTTTCCTATCCACTCTCTCATCCTAGGCCCAATTCCCAAGGCTTCTAGAGTATCCATCATGAATCTCCAGTTCACTCTATCAAACGCTTTTTCAGCATCTATAGAGAGTAACACCACCGGTTCTTTTCCCTTTTTGCTCTTTTGGATTAAAATCAGTGATCGTAGCCCATTATCTTTACCCTCCCTCCCTGGGACAAAGCCCACCTGATCCTCATGTATCCATTCAGGCATTAGCTCTTTCAATCTATTTGATAGGACCTTTGCGTACAGCTTAGTGTCGGTGTTCAATAATGAAATAGATCTATAACTCGAACACTGTAAGGCGTCTTTTCCCTCTTTTTGAATGAGCACGACTTGGGCTTGTAATGATTCTCTTATTACTTCCATCTCTCCACCTAGTGCATTCATATAGTTTCTAAGTTTTGGTACTAAAATTTCACTGAATTTTTTATAGTATTTCACTGTATATCCATCTGGTCCTGGACTTTTCCCCGCCACTGTCCCCTTCAATGCTAATTTTATTTCGTCCTGTGAGATATCTGCATCTAGGGAGTTCAATTGATCCTCGCTTAATTTTAGTAACCCAGCTATCTCCAGATATTTCTTTCTTTTTTGATTCTTCTCACTTTCTATATTTTCTGAGCCTTCCAGGGGGCTTATATTGTACAGTTTCCTGTAATAATCTATGAAGACTTTGATGATATCTTTATTTGAATGCATCAGGTTTCCTTTAGCATCTTTTATTTTTTCTATATAATTTCTATTTTTCTTTTTCCTCAGAGCTCTCATCAGATACTTTCCAGGTCTTTCTCCCCATCTATATCTCTCACTCAAAACTCTATTATATACTTTTCTCCTCCTCTTCTATCACTTCTTTCAATTCTTCTTTCTTTTTTTTTAACTTCAACTCTATTTCTTTTGTTATTCTATTCTTGTGTATTTGTTCTAATTTACTTATTTCTTCTAAGAGCCCACTCATTTTCTCTCTTCTTTCTTTTTCTTTCTTGCCCCAATCGCTATTAATATTCCCCTTATGTATGCCTTGTGAGATTCCCACACTGTGGCTGTTGATACCTCACCTGTCTCATTCTCCTTAAAAAAGCGTACGATCTCCTCCCCTATTTTCTGAGCTATTTCCTTTTCTACTAGGAGTGTCTCATTCAATTTCCATCCCAGCCCTCTGATTTTCCTCCTCCCTATTCCATTTTCATAATAACTGGGGCGTGGTCTGATAGAGATATTGTCTCTATATCTACCTGGACCAGATGATCAATTAGTTGATGTTCTATTAATATATGATCTAATCTTGAATACCTCTTATGCATGTTTGAAAAGAAAGTATAATCTCTATCTTGCATATGTGTAATTCTCCAGGCATCTACCAATTGACTTATATGTAATTCTTTTTTCAATAATTTCAGGGCCCTACTTCCTTCTCTCTGTATATGGGAGGTAGCGTCTCTTTGTGGTTCCATACAAAAGTTAAAATCCCCTGCCAGAATCAGACGTCCTTTTTTAAAGTCCATCAACTTCCTCAACACTTTTTTCAGATACGCCTCCGGTCTTTTATTAGGACAGTAGATATTGGCCAGTGTACACTCGATCTCCTGTAACTTGCCCTTTAAAAACCAGAATCTCCCCTCCGGGTCTGTTTTTCTATCTTCCAACTCAAACCTAATATTCTTTGCCAAACCTATTGCTACCCCTTTTGCTCTTTTAACCGGGAAGTCTGCGTAATACCATGTTGGATGATTTCTAGACCACAGCCTAATATTTGATTTTATCTCAAGATGTGTCTCCTGTTGAAATATCACTGAGGCTGCCCTATGATGTAGTTCTTTAAATAATCTATATCTTTTCCCAGGGCAGTTCAACCCATTTACGTTATATGTTATAAACTGAATCTCTTCCATCTTCCTTAAATTTCCCCTTTTCTCCTCCATTTATATATTTTTCTTTTCTCTCCCCTTTTCTCTTTTCCTCTTCTCCTCCCTTCTTCTCCTCTCCTCCTTCTCCCTTCTCACTTGCTTTTATATCTTCTTTTATCTTGCAGAAACCCCCCCCCCTCCCCGATTTCCCACCCTTCCAACCTTCCAACCCCCTCCCTCCCCCCCTCCCCTCCCCCCTCTTTTTAGGCCTGTCATTTGCCTACTAATCATTTATGGAAAAATCCACTTTTGATTTGATCCTTGGGCTGAAACTCCGTCCATGGACGACTATCCCCTTGTCTACCTCCCCATAACCCCCCAAGTCCTACCCAGATTTATCTCAGGCACAGTAAGACATGGGTGAGGGCAGAAAGAGATAGAGGAGAGAAAAAAAAAAAAAGAAGAAAAAACCCTATTTCTCCTCCTCCATCCCTCTCACCTCCCCCTCCCCCCTGCCACCCCCCCCCCTCCCCCCCCCCCCCCCACAGATTGCCAGTCCTCTTTTCTCTTCATTCTATTTTCCCATTGTTCTTCTTCCCAGCCAGGGATTTCAATTCTTTGGATTTTTAAGCTGTCACAAAAAATTTTCAAATCTTCTGGAAACCTGAGGTATGCTGTAGTCCCATTTTTCCATCCTATTAAGCATTCGGGAGTCCCCCATCTATATTGCGCATTATGTTCTTTCAACCTTTCCAATAGGGGTCTCAAAAATCTCCTTCTCCACAGAGTCTCTGGGGCCAGATCCGCATATATCTGTGTGTCTCCTCCTTCATACTTAATTACTGGTTTTCCCTTGATCTTCTTCCAGATTTTTTCTTTATCCCGAAGCTCATAAAATTTAACTAGTATATCTCGCGGCCTTTCTTTCCCCAGAATTCTCTGAATTTTTCCTTTTCTAAAGGTTCCTTCTATTTTAGTCCTTTCCATTTCAGAGCTGTCTGTTATAGTATTAAATAGATCCAAACAAGAATCTACCCTCTTTCAACAAATAATCCAGCTATATGTGCAACAACAAAATTTTCCCCGTATAATTTATACTAAATCATAAAGTCCAGTGTCTCCGTGATTTAAACCAAATAGTAAAAAGTCCAGTGTCTCGATAAAAAAGAAGAAAATAAAAGAAGATGTATTTCTTGCAGTGTTGATTGTTGTGAAAAACCTCAAAAATAAAGAAACTCACAATAGTGCATTACCATAATATCACCAGAGAGAAAAAAAAAAAAAAAAAAAGGACTATATATATATATATATATACATATATATATAATAACTTATATATACACATACATGCACACACAAATGTGTATCTTAAATTGTGTGCAAACTTTAAGTGAAAAATATATATATTAAACACTTGTGAAAAAACCTTCCAAAGACGAAAGGTAATAAAACACTCGTGCTCATAAAATCATGAAGTGATCCACTTAGTGAGATTCCTACCCACACGTGACACTTCTAGTGAGTAAGGCCAATATACCCTTACCAACAGTAGATGGAACTCACGCCTTTTTTTATATTGTATGGAAATCCTCCCAAGAAACTTTGTCCTCCTCTCCTCCTTCACTTCCCGTTAAGGCGATATTAACATGCCATCCACATACATAGATCTATGAAGCACGACGTACCTCCATATATGTTTAGAGTTTTAATAAATCCACTTGCATTTGGAGTTGAAAACATAAGCAGTATAGACAAATAGGACTAACCCCACTAAGTGGGGATTACCAGGCAGTTTCCCACAGTTCCCAGGCAGTCCACACTCGAGTATCTAGCGATTCCCCAACAAAGATGGCCGCTGTGATACTTCCGGTTCCTGCTCCTTGCGTATGACGTCACTTCCCTCTTGACGCGTTTCGTCACATCCAGGACTTAGTCATAAGAGAGAGAGACGTCCTGACACCTGGCCACAATAAATACCGCTCCTCCACTGATTGACGATACTAGGATCGCCATATTGGAAAAGGGAAATACCGCCCTTACTCAACCACACAGCCTACTAACAGGAAGTGGGCTCCCTATACATACAAGAACTAGGAGCATATCTAGTGGGATCGCATATACTATACCGGCTATTTCAATACTCCAAATACAAAGAATTACATTAATATATATTAACTCATCATAATTACACATTAAATAAAACTAATAAGTTAAAACATGGATAAAACAATTATTTAATATCCCTTACTTTCTATATGCCCTAACAAACATTTATTATATTATATATCTACTAATAGCTACTCCCTTAGCACCACCTGCTGGTCATAATAAATATTGCCATTTCATTACAGATGTCCTACTAAGCTACATATAACATTAATTTTAAATATCAATTAATTCTTTTTTAATCTAAAAAGGCTAACCAGGCTAAAAAAAATATTTATTTCAAAGTATTTATAATGATTAAGATAAATAAAATTGTAACAAAATATTTATTAAAATTTAAAAAATATTAATAATTAGAAATAAAAAAACAATTAAGGTCTAAATCCACATTTAATCCTCTAGGTCTAAGTGTTCTTAATTGGAATATCCAAAATGTTTCATTTTGTGATAAAATTTTAATTTTATCACTCCCTCTCCAATGAGCTTCTATAGAATCAATCCCACAGAATTTTAGGGTCCCTGGATCACAATTATGGATATCCCTAAAATGTCTGGAAAGACAATGATCTTTTTTGCCTTTTCTAATATTATTCACGTGTTCGCTCAATCTTTTGTGAAGGGGTCTTGATGTTCTGCCCACATATTGTAAGTGGCATGAACATTCCAATACGTATGTAACAAATGTCGACTTACAGGAAATAAACTTCTTTATTTCAAAGCTCTTTCCTGTATTCTGGGAAGTGAATTCTTTAATAGATCTATTATGAATACCTGTTACTTTACATATAGAACATTTTTTACAGGGGTAAAAACCTCTAAGATTAAACATATCCATCTTCTTTTTCCTGGGGGGGAGAGATGACATTTTTTACTAAAATGTCCCTTAAATTGTTTGTTCTCTTATAAATAAAGGTAGGTTTTTCCGGTATTACCTGGCCCAAAATTCTATCCTTTTTTATAATTGGCCAGTGTTTTTTAATAATAGATTCGATCTCTTTATATTGGCAATTATATCTCGATATAAACGCATAGTCCACCCTTTTTTTATTTTTCTCTTTTATTTGTTTAGATTGGTAACTCACTTTTTGATCTCCAATATAATTCTTACTGATTTCAAACCTAATTTTTTCTAATTTAGTGGGATCATACCCTTTCTGGACAAACCTGTCCTTAATTAGCTCTGATTGTTCTATATAATCCTTCAGTCTGGAACAATTGCGCATAATTCTAACAAACTGGCTTTTGGGTATACCATTAATCCAAATAGGGTGATGACAGCTATTAGTCGGTATGAAGCCATTTCTGTCTGTATCCTTAAAATATGTTTTAGTAAAAAGAGAGTCATTATCTTTAAAAATATTAAGATCTAGAAAATTAATTGACTTAAGGTCCACCGTAAACGAAAAACCTAAATTATATTCATTATTCTCTAAAGTTAAAAAGAACTCTTTTAATGATTGTAGGGAACCTTCCCACATAATTAAAATATCATCAATGTAGCGTTTCCACAATATGAGTTCCTTCCTTCTATTTTTAAAAATGTCCTTCTCCTCCCATTTTGCTAACAATATATTGGCAAAGCTGGGCGCAAACTTTGCGCCCATTGCAACCCCTTTTTTTTGTATAAACCCCTTTTTTTTTCTCTCTGGTGATATTATGGTAATGCACTATTGTGAGTTTCTTTATTTTTGAGGTTTTTCACAACAATCAACACTGCAAGAAATACATCTTCTTTTATTTTCTTCTTTTTTATCGAGACACTGGACTTTTTACTATTTGGTTTAAATCACGGAGACACTGGACTTTATGATTTAGTATAAATTTACGGGGAAAATTTTGTTGTTGCACATATAGCTGGATTATTTGTTGAAAGAGGGTAGATTCTTGTTTGGATCTATTTATTTGAGTTTAAGCTTTCAGGGGTTGAAAGTTCTTTCCAATTTGGAATCAGTGTAGGTGAAAGGGTGTTTTTTGTTTTCACATTACATTTATATCATTTTCACATTATATTTATATGTTATAGTATTAAGTATTTTACAAACCACCTCTTGCAGACTTTCTCCCTTTGAGTTCTCTGGGACCCCTCGTATCAAGACGTTTCTCTTCCTGTCTTTGTTTTCTTGTATCTCAACCTTATATAACAATTTTTCTTGGGCTTTCCCTATGTTAATTATTTCTTTTTCTAGTTCAGAGATAGCCTGGGTCTGACTTTTAACTTTCTCCTCCGTTTCTTCAACTCTCTCCAACAGGTGTCCCAGATCGCTGCGGATATTTACCATTTCTTGTTGTATTGTTTTCTCCAATTCTTTAAACATTTCTGCCATTTCTTTTTTATTAGGTATTTGTAGATCTTTTTCCAACTCTATATTGACTGATATTTGCTGGTTACTAGTATCAAGGCCTAATGATACTCTAGGACTACTTTCCATATTAAGATCTGCTTCTCCTTTTTCAGTCCTGCTCTGGGGTCTTTCTGGGGTTACGTTTCCTTGGGAGGTATATTTTTTAATTGTACCAGTCTGGGACCCTTTAAGCCCACTTCCTTTTACATTTTTATTTTTCATTTTTCTCTGTAGCTCTTATCCTTCTTATACTCCTTTATAAATTCGTGGGTAGGGAGGGGAACTAATTCTTTAACTTCCAAATCTCTGCCCTATCCCCCTGCTGATTTTTTAAGTTTTTTCTTTCCACGGGCCTCTTCCACCTTTTAGACAGTCTCTGGGGGTCCCCCCTTTCACTTACACCCTGCTTCTCTTTAGGGGTCAACTCAGTACTTCACACCAATGCAAGTCAGAGATCAGCCATGATCACTCACCCTCCTCATATGTTTTCTTCTTGTGAGTGCTTCTCGCTCCGTTCCCCTAAGGTTCCGTTCATGGGGGGGAACTCCCCAGGATCTCCTCGATCTCCTTGTCCAGGTCTCGGTAGTTCTCCTCCCGCAACTTTTAGCTCGAGGGGTTTCAGGGGGATAGGGGGAGAATGAGTTGGCCACCGGCAAACAGGTCGGCGCAGCTCTCTCACTGCAAAACACCGGCCGGCCGGCTTCCCGATCTCCCAGTGGTGCCTTGCGGCCGGTCACGTGATCACGCCGGCTTCCTTCGTCTCTCAGCATCCAGGGACTCTCTCACTGCCAGTCTCCAGCCGCTCCCCTCTCTCCTCACGCCAGCATCCACCTCTCCTCCACAGGGAGCCGTCAGGCCAGGGTAAGTCCCACACCACAGGGCTCTAGCATGCCTGAGGGGGTAGACCCGGAGGCCTGGGGAGGTCAGACAACGGAGCTCCGTCCAAGAGCTCCTACATGGAGCTCTCCCCTGCCGCCATGCTCAGGCCCCGCCCAGTGTGAGCAGCTAGTTTTTGTAGCTGCTGACTTTTAATAAACACAAAACCGTCTGGAACTGCGCTTTGACATCAGATCAGTTGAGTGTCCTTAGTGTAATACTTGAAAGTTACCGCTAGGTGTCATGTGGCTCAACAAATTATTCTGTTGCTATGACTTCACTGGTCCTCTCTTCCCTTCTGGGCAAATCTGATAGAAGAGCAAGCCTGGTAACTTCCGACGGATGACATAGGACTGTAGTCTCCAGCGAGCTGCTATTTTGTGTTTCCCCAGGACTCCAAGGTTCCTCAAGAGCACTTGCTCTCCTGGCTGCAAGTCATTTAATTTCACTTTTGATAGTTTCTCTTATTCATTTGCTCCACCACTTTGGAGGCCTGATGTGCCTTCTCATAAGCAGTTTCTAATTTGTGTTTCAACCTCTCCACTCCTTGATGTGATGAAGGAGTACTGTGGTTGGGGGCAGTATCAAAGGTTAGGTCCACTAGTAGTTTGGCCTTTCGCACAAACATTAGGTGATAGGGTGAATTGCCCATGGCGTTGTTTTCCATGTTGATGTATGCGTGCACCACGGCAGCAATATGCTGACTCTACTGCTGCAAGGTGCCAAGCATATTCAGAAGAGTATGGTTAAACCGCTCCAGTTGTAGGTCACCTTGGGGATGGTAAGGAGTAGTTCTAGATTTTTTTTATGCCCAAAAGAGTCAACAGTTCCTTGATCAATGTACTCTCAAAGTTTCTGTCCTGATCTAAGTGAATGCTTTGTGGAAGTCCATAGCGCACAAAGAATTTCTCTACTAGGACCTTGGATACCGTAGAGGTCTGTTGATTCTTTGTAGGAAATGCCTGGACATATCTTATGAAGTGGTCTGTTACCACTAGAACATATACCCGGCCACTGAAGTCCAGCTCTAGACACAGGAAGTCATTACACACCAACTCCATTGGTCCCTGGCTCTGAAGGTGGCCCATTGAAGTGGTCTGTTTAGGCAAGGTCTTCCTGTGGATGCAACTCATGCAGGTGCGGCAATACTCCACTTTCAATTTTAATTTGACGCTAGCAAAAACAGTCCCTTACTAAAAGGAAAGTTCTCTCCAGCCCCAGGTGTCCATGTTCATCATGCAATGACTTTAGCACGATTTTTATGAATTGTCAACTGCCATAGGACATCACTTTTGTCTGAGGGGCCCCTTTGGTAGACCACCCTGTCCCTCAGCTTCAGCCTATCCTATTCCTTGTGAATGACCTTGGCATCCACCCAGACCAAACTGGACTTCGCAATCCTAAGGGTTCTCTCTGTTAGCTGGCAGAGCGGGTCTTGATACTGGGCCTCCTGAAGATCTTTCCTAGTGAGTTGATTTAGCTCATCACTTTTCAACTGTGACATGTTGCAGTAGTACTGTGGAATGCAAGCGCCTCGTGCTCCTACAACTTCAACATACACCATCTCCTTGGCAACATATTCAGCTCCCTGGCTCAATGCCTGCATTCCTTCAGGAGACACTTGCATCCACTTTTGGTAACCCATGTTTCATAAGGTCTTTGGGATAGTACATCAGCATCCTTGTTTCCTACTCCAGGATGATACTTCAGACTGAAGCAAAATCCTGAGAAAGCAGCTTACCACCAGTGCCCAGTGGCATCTAGCTTCTCTCAGCAGGAGAAAGACTGTGGCTCACAAAAGCTACTGGTTGGACAACTCAGCATGTCCTTGATATAGTACAGCCCCGAGACCCTCTCGACTGGCATCCACATGTGGCTTGAAGGGCTTGGAAGGATCTGCATACACCAACAATGGGGCCTGAGTCAAGCACTGCTTTAACTTATTGAAGGCCTGTTTGGGTTTCTGTGAACCCTTCATTGAAGGAGTCTTAGCAGTCCCGCAGGCTTCTCCTTCACTATTCTTCAGTAGTTCCATGGGGGGTGCAGATGTTTTTGCAAACCACCCAACGAGACGGTGGTAATACATACAGAACCCCAGGAATGATCTCAGCTAGGTGACATTGTTGGGCTGAGGCCAGGTGGTTATAGCTTCATTCTTATTGGGGTCCATGGCCACTCCTTCTACTAAGACCACATGCCTTAGGTAGGTGACTGAGGTAAAACTGGCACTTCTTCAAATAGTTTCAATCCTTCATCATGGAGATGCTGTAATACTTTTTCCAGCCATGCTTCATTCTCCTCCAGGGTCCTTCCAAACACAATTATATCATCCAGATATATCGCAACCTCGATCAAGTTCCCGAATGTGCACTCCATCAATCTCTGGAAAGTGGCAGGTGCCCCCGACAGGCCTTGAGGCATGCAATCAAACTCGAAAGAAACCCAGTGGGCTAATGAAAGCTGTCTTTTCTCTGTCCTTGGGATGCAATGGCATTTGGTAGTACCCACTCTTCAGGTCTAGAACACTGAACTATTTGGCTCTCGACAAGCATTGTAATGCATCCTCAATTCTGGGGGTGGTGTATTGATCCGGTATAGTTGTCTGGTTGAGAATTCGGTAATCTATACACATCCGCAAAGTGCCATTCTTCTTTCACACCACTACAATGGGGGAAGCATAGGGACTTCTGAATTCTCTAATGATACCAGCTTTCTTCAGCTCTGCTAACTGCTCTCTCAGATCTTTCAGATCCCCTAAAGGAACCTGTCCAGTTCATTCTTAAATTGGTTTGCCCTCACTTGGATCTGGTGCTGAGCACTCTTCGCTCATCCAATGTCATAATCATTCTTGGAAAACATTTTCTCTCAGCCTAAACTTTGCTCTATGTGTCCATTCTTCTGGCAAAGGGGAGTCTTGCAGGCTGTAACCCTCTCTGAAGGTGTCTTCGAGTGGATTGGGCACATTGACCAGGGTCACAGCATACACTTGCCCAACAGCATCTGGGTTTCAAGGTGATAGAAGCTGCTGAGTTGTTGCAGACTCTAACAAGTGCACTGCCATTACTGCTTTGCAGAGCTCTTGTAGTGGTCACCTCTGGAACTACTTCTACTCTGCTCTTCTACTAGGGCCAGTCTTGAGAACAACAAATGGCCCAGGTCGATCCCAGGTCTAACTCTCTCATACAAGTGACTTCACCCAGCTGAAGCACTTTCTCTTCGGGCTTACTCTTCCAAACTCTCCTTGCTTCCTCCTCAGGAACCTTCAATTCTCTGACGACCAGCTGGTAAACTTGATGAAGCTGTGAATGGATACTTTAGATGGACACTGCATTCTGCTTGGCCAGCAGAGTGAGTAACCTGTGGACTAGGTTAGCTTTGGTGCCAGTTAAAAGGGAGCACTGTTGGGGGCATGGCCGGCCGGAGCCCAAGATGGACGCTGTGCTCTAAGGCTCTGCACACTGGATCAGGCACAGACATCATCCAGCGACAATCCATGGTGCACATGAGCGGCATGGCAGCCAAAAGGAAAGAGGAACGGCACCCTCAGAAGCTTATCGATTTCTTGTTCCAGCCTGTGGAACGGCACAGGCAAGATTGAGCCAATACCACGACTCCTGCATCCATGTCTGCTCCTCCCCTGGCCTCCCAGTCTAAAGCGCCCCTGACTCAGCCAGACAACCAAATAGAGGTTCAGCCTCACAACTGCCTCTCATCCTGACAATTTCTGGCAGGCCAGGCAAAGCAAAGATGCGCATGGATTATCGTGCAGCAGATCTGAGGTGAGCCGTTCTATACACACTTTTGGATCACAAATTACTCATCCAGATACTATTGCTTTCTTCCTTGCCTCTAACCAACCAGTAACGGACACCACTGTTAATGAAATGCTAATGTCACTCAGA